TCATTAAGAAGCTAATTAAATTTGAGTGGACCGGGTCTCCACATTACCCAACAATTCTCCCACTTGGAGACTTGGACACTGAATGCATCACCTACTAGCTGCATCATCTACTAGCTGAACCGACCTTTTTTCTCAAACATGATATCCTCCACCTCTGCAACTCGAAGCCCCTTTCTTCATGCTAGAAGACCAGCTGAAGTTGAGCACAACTTCAACTTCTCACGAGTAACACCCTCAGTTGATATATCACCGTCAACGTAGTCTTGTACCGACAAGCTCTTTCATGGGTTACTCATGTATCTGCTTACAACTCCCACTGCATGAGCAATGTCATGCTTCTGCTGAAAGCCCTTTTCAACAAGTCCAGCCTTGTAGCTCTTACTGTCACCAAGTGCAGTTTTCATCCGTTATACTCACTTGTTGTGTAATGTCTTCTTCCTTGGTGGAAGTTCTGCAAGTTCCCAAGTCTGATTCCCTGACAGGGAATCCGTCTCCTCCTTCTTAGTTAGCTCCCACTTGCTCGAATTCTCATCTTGAAAGATTTCTACATAACTCTGTGGTTCTCAACCATTTGTATGTACAAAGTTTGGTTTTCCTGCCTTTGGCGCTCTGACACTTTTCAGGAAATGGACCTTCTTCTGCTTCCTCATAATTCACCTCTGACTCATGTGTCCACGCCTGAGTAAACCTGTAGTCATATATAGTGTGTCAGTTTTCTTACCCCGACCAATTACTAATGCTCCTTTGGTAACCTTCCAGGTGCTATCTGAGAACACCACTGAATGACCACCCTCATTGAGCTTCCCAACAGAGATGAGGTTTTTCTTCAACTTAGGAACCTGTCTGACCTTTTGCAATGTCAATTTGCTCTTATTAAGGAGTGCAATATCAACATCTCACATCCCCACACATCTAGAGCTTTTCCATCAACCAGATGTATTCACATTAACTCCCGGCGGGAAGATGTGTGGAAGGAATACTCTGAATCCAGTATCCAGTCATCAACAGAACTGTAAACTGCCAGAAATAGTGCATCATGTATTTCTTCAGTTATAACATTAGCGTCATCATCCTCCTTATTAGGATTTCTGCAGTTCCTTTTTATGTGGCCAGCCTTGCCATAATTCCAGCAGGTTGCCTGCTGACCTGACTTTAATTTTGATCTTCCACAGTTTGAGTTTCTGCCTTGTGATCTCCCTCTGTAATCAACAATCAGTGCCAAAATTGAACCCAAGGTCTCGCCAGAATATTTCATGCGCACCTCCTCAGCCAAAATCAAATCACGAATAAAATCATATTTCAGCTTAGATTTACCTGCAGAACTGCTAATTGTCATCCTCATGGCTTCCCAGCTATTTGACAATGATGCCAACAATATCAGTTCACGTATCTCATCATCAAAATCAATTTCAACAGATGACAACTGATTTGTGATAGTGTTGAAATCATTTAGGTGTTGAGCAACGGAGACACCTTCCATCATCTTCAAGTTGAATAACTTTTTCATCAAATGCACCTTGTTATTCGCCGATGGCTTTTCATACATACCTGATAAAGCCGCAATGAGATCTGCAGTAGTCTTCTCCTTGATAACATTGTGGGCAACCAATCTCGATAGGTTAATTGTATAACCTCCAGAACCTGTCGATCCAACAGATTCCTTTCTGCCTCGTCCATCTTTTCTGGTCGCTTTCCCAGTAACGGAAGATGAAGTTTCTTCCCATAGAGATAGTCCTCTGTCTGCATCATCCAGTAAGCAAAATCTGTGTCATTGAACTTCTCGATCCTCAATGTCATCACTTCGTCTCCGCCCATCGTTCGTCCTTCTATCCGAACCAAAGCTCTGATACCAGTTGTTATGAAAAACAACGACAATAAAATGAAAAAATGGAATGAGAAAAGAAATGCATGCAGAAAAAAAAACACCAGAGCGACACACAAATTTACGTGGTTCAACAAATTTGCCTACGTCCACTGAGCTGCAGAGGATTTATTTCTTCGAGGAATTACACTATCGAGCGTCTCGACGTTTACAAGAAAATCTCTATTTTTTTATCTCCCTTCCTTTCTCTCTCTCTCTTTCTCTTCCTCTCTTTCTCTTAGAAAGGTTTGGTCTTGCTTGGCTTGCCTCGGTCTTTAAACCAAATTTGGCTTGCTTGGCTTTAAACCTAAAGAGACTATTTATAGAAACCATGAGAGCGGTAGGTGGGAAGTAGGTGAGCGGTAAGTGGGATGTGGTAAGTGGGATGTGGTAGGTGTGTGGTAGGTGAGCGGTAGGTGGGTGTGGTAGGTCAGCGGTAGGTGAGATACTTAATTAAGAAGCTAATTAAATTCGATGGGTCGGGTCTCCACATTACCCAACAGTATAATGTCACTACTAAAATAATTAAACATAACACATGAAAACAACTAAAAAACAATAATTGTTTAGAAATTATAGTTTAAAATATTTAAATATATGTGAAATAAAATTTATTAAAAGTGCATGAATCTCGAAGCATTTTGAGTCAGAAACTTTCCAAATTCAAATTCAAGATCATATGGAGCGTGATTAGAGAAAATTTATCATCAAATTGAGCATTTTGACGAGAGAAACCTCATTGAAACTAAAAGTAATCCAATCTGAGTTAAAAACGGCTTAGGACAAACACTCGAAGATTTCGGTGCATTAACTGCTAGGTAAGAAAATTATTAAATTTGGCATGCCTATAGTCAAATCGAGCAACTTGATGAAAGAAATTCAACGAGCTTATAACCATTCAATTATGATGTCCTTAAGCCTCTTAAATGTTGAAAAAAAAAACTTATGATCAAAAGAATAAAAGTGGATCATCCAATATAATGTTTTGGGAAATTGATTAAACTTACAAGAATACCCATATAAAAACTATAAATATACGCTCATTCTTCACTTGAAGGAGGAAGAGAGAAAAGAGTAGGTTGAGTACTAAAACTTATAGCTTGAAGTCACGTCGTTTGTCTCTGACCACCAAAATCCGTTGTTGACAGCTAAAATTCGCTGCCAGCCACCAAAAGGTCACTGTCAACCACCACTAGTAATTTGCTAGGACCAACTATGACCATTATAACAACCAACTGTAGTTTCTGTAGCCAACTACTACTGCTATGGCAACCAACATCATCTCGTAACCTCATCTCCTCTAATATAGAGAAGAGTAGATTTATGTACCTTCAATTTTATGGCGCGTCGTCATCCGTGATTTCTTTTCTTTCCAGGGGTTTTCTATATAAAAAATATTGGTGTCATCTCCCACTATTCTTTTATCTGTGTGTTATAGAGATTGTCATGCGACACTAAAATACTAAATTATCACTCCACCGCCGAAAATTTTCAACATGCAATAATTATATTGATTAAATACTAGAATCAATTATGCAACATTATACGAGCATCATTTATTGTTAAATTAAATGCTTAGTTTTTCATACTAGATTAAATTGAGTGTTTTCTCAACTAAATAGATGAATATCTAAAGTACACAAATATAGTTAGAAAAATAAAAAGTATAAATACAAAATTATAAAAAAAAAAAAATAATAACTAGATTTTCAAAGTGTGTAGTATGTTGTGAAACAAATTATATCGTCTTATCCTCACGCATAAAAAGAGGGCATTTACAAATTAAAAATTAAATAAAAAAACAAGCCTTCCTAAAAAGACATAGCTAGCAAATTAAATCATTATAAATTAAAAAAAAAATAAAAAAATAAAAATAAAAAGAGGGCATTTACATATATACACCTAATTCATATGTAATTACATATGTAACGCCAAAATTTTACTTTTTTACATTTATACCACTCCAGTTATTCATATCACATAAAAATGTCTTTTAAAAAGAGAAAAATGGGATTTCTGCCACGTGTAAAATTTTATATTTAGGCGTAAGTTATTTTTAAATGCATAGGAATTGAGTGTTATGTATGTAAATCTTCCTAAAATATATTTAAATCATAATTTTATCATCCTATTCATGCATTTTTTCTATGATTTATAGAATAGCTCGTAATTAATTTAATAAGAAAGGGTGATGAACTTAGTTCATGCGGCAAAATAAAAGAACAATAACAGCACAAACATACCAACTCAAGTAATAGTAGGTAGTAACAATTACTTGCACAGAAATTATGTGGCAACCAAAAAAATATATTGTAAATATAATGCACGAAAGCTGAATTAGGGAGATATTGACCATTGTTTTTTCTGAAAAAATATTACATCAGAACTTCGCAACGTAGTGTTACGTGTGGAGTCCAATGAAATTACGCCGTGGTGGTGATCAGCCCGATAACACCAGGGAATATTCCTCTCGTGTTATTCAGGTGTTATTGTTTATTATTAAGGTATTATTGTGTATTATTGTGTTATTATAACACCGGAAATATTCTCAGAACACAATAACACATGAATAATATACAATAACACTTGAATAATACGCAATAACACATGAATAACACCAGAGGAATATTCCATTATGTTACCGGGTCAATCACCTCCACGGCGTAATTTCATTGGACTCCGCACGTAACTCTACGCGCGGAGTCCCGCTGGAATATTTTTTCGTTCTTTCTTCTTTCTAGGAAGGCAGACATGTTGCGACATAAGAAAACATTGAAAATAAGGTTTTGATTAAGGGACTTTTTAATCCAATCAAAGCCAAGATTTGACTCAAAATCTATCATTTTTGGCTCACTCAAATGTTATTACACAGCAGAAAAACATGAGATTTATTGGCAGCCTAACATTTTTGGCTTCTCAATATCTGGATAAAAAGTATTTTTTTAAAAAAAAAATTAGTTTTCGAGCTATGTTTGATCAGGAAAGACTATTTAACTAGAATTCAACACAGATGATCATATTATCACTGGATGAGAATTGATGAATCAAATACAGTTGTTCTAATTCATGTGCAAACACTCTTCAAGTAGAGCAAAAAACGTGTGTTAGCATTGTTTTTGGAGTATTTGATATATATATATATATATATATATACATAAGAAAAAACTCACAGATAATCACTCAATATGTCATAGAAGTGATTTAAATCAATCTTCTCTTGGCCCGACCAAATAGCTTGTGAATCTCTTACAACAGCCCGTTCCACCAACATAAATAATTTCTTCAACGTGGTCTGACAAAATAGAGAATGCATGTGGGTCATTCAATCTCGAAAATACAATGAAAATACTTAGCTCTGCACTGCTCTAAAAGAAAGGGGAGGGGGGGGAAGGATTAACACGCATATCACACTATTTTTATGTGTTTGCATGGCCCCAACACAAACTCCAAAATTTACTTACAGAATACTTCATTGTCTCAATTATGTACAGAAAAAGTAAAAATTAGCGATACTTTTGGAATATATAAAGAACACAATACCTCTCTTCTCTCTCTTTCTTTTATCACCAAGGTAATGTGTAACACCCACAGAATATTTCAAAGACGAGCCAAGAAAAAATGAACAATTTTTTTACCTAGAGCATCTAAAATAGGATTGTTTTTTGGAATTTTTGGTGTGAAATGTAATTTTTTGGAAGCTTTACATACATGCCACTCAATTCCCATGTATTTACATATCCAATACCTAAACTTCATTTTTTACATATATATGTGTATTTTATTATTTAGAAGTTAAAATAGTGACATTTTTGGTGTGATGTAAAAGACTTGGGTGTAAAAAAAGTAAAATTTAGGTGCTAGATATGTACATAGATAAGAATTGGGTTGTATATACGTAAATGCCTCAATTTTTTATTGCTTATGTAAAATTACATTTTGTAGAATTGCCAGCTGCGATGAGTTTCAAACAGATTGAAGAAGAGCTAGAATTGGAGAAACACAGCAGAGGTTTGCCATTACTATGATTCTGAAATATCGAAGGGTTCCTAGTTTAAAGCTCCAAAAATAAATAGAATAGGAAACAAAACTCACCCCGTCTAATGCTTTAGCAGCTTCATCAACATCATCTCTTGCAAAGACATTGAGGTGTTCCAACACCTGTAAAAAAAGTTACACATCAATCAAGGATCACAAACATATGCACGGAGCTTAAGATGAACGTTGTTTATTCAAAATCCATAGTAAAAAATGTCATGCTATTTCATATTTTTTAACCATAACCTTGTGCTGCAGATCAATACTAAAAAACAACGATAATTATAACAAGATGCATCTTTTCCGGAAATTATAAAAAAGATGCTTAAATTGTGTTGATTTTTGTCCACAACATTATGGAACTTGAAGCTTTACATTTATTGTCAACTTTCTTGATTATAGTAAATTTGTCTATAGGAAATATATATATATATATATATATATATA